GTTGAGGGATACTGTGGGGTTCACCCCGAACGCGCGTTGGGGGGTCAGCCCCAATGCGAGCGCAAACGGATCCACACACAGCACCCACTCATACGAACACACGCAATGCACACACACAAACACGCAATGCGCTCTTGTGTGCACCCTCACACTCACTTAACCATCTCACCTCCGAGTGATGTGCCCTCAGGACTGACTCTGAAGAGCAAGCACCCCACCTTGCCCACACCCCTGCCCACCCACGCCCTCGCGCCCAACACATGCTAAATCCCGTACCCCTCCCCTACCAAACCCCGCCCGGCCGCAGGTCCCGCGCGCCAGGCTGTCCGCACGTCCATGATGGAGACGGCGGTGCTGGACGGCTTCAGGGTGCTGGAGGTGGAGGACCACTGGGCCACGCTGAGGCTGCTCGCTGACATCACCAAGTGAGGGGGGGACGCATGGGACAGGACGTTAGGGACAGTGTGCATGTGTGGTGTGAGTGTGTGTGTGTGAGGCGGGCAGCAGGAATGACGAGGTTTGGCGAATGTGTTGATAGGAGCGGTCCGCAGGTCTTGCTGCAGGCTGGCGCGCAGACAGGCACGTGGGAGGCGACTCTTTAGTTGCCCGCAGCCGCACTGCCGCCAGACTCAGAGGACAGCTCAAACCCATCCCGACCGCCGCCCCTGGAATCACCATCCATCCCGGCGCCCCCCCCCCCCAAACAGGATGTTGGCAGAGCTCTACGGCCCCCTCACCGCCGCCCACACGCACGCCGACGCCGCCGCCGACGCGGCGCAGCCCCCGCCGCTCTTCCAGGAGTGGAACGAGGGCCGCCGCGACTCGTACCGCCGCCGCACGGTCCGCGACACCTGGCTGTGCATACTCTGCGAGCTCCCCGGGTTTGGCACCGTGTCGGCGCAGAAGGTGCTCTCCGCGTTCCCCACGCCGCGCTCGCTGTACGACGCGTATGAGTCAGCGATGCGCGCGGCGCGCGCGGGCGGGCGCGACGCGGTCGCGGCGGCGCGGGGCGTGCTGCGGGGCGCGGCGGGGCTGTCGGCGGCGCGGTCGCAGCAGGTGTATGATGACCTGTTCGCCAACGGCTGGCACGTGTGAGCGCGCCGGCGGGGCCGTGTCCGGGTGTTGTGTCGTTTCGTGTCGTTTTCATCAGATTGTTGGGCTCCTGGCCGGGCTGTATGTGGCCGGGTACCCATGGGCCTGCACTGGCCAGTGCTGGGGTGCTGGTTTGGAGGGTGGTCTGCTGGCTAGCCGATTTGATGTGTGGGGTTGCTGTGTGACGCAGGAGGTGGGGGCTGTCCTTTCAGCAATGGTTTCATATGGGAGTCTGCTGGATGTTGTTTATAAGCTGAGTCAAGCCGAATATCCGAGCTTTGGCGTTGACGTTGTCTTGCATACTGTCCCTGCGCCCTCTGTGGGTCATGCTCTCAACATCAGATTTACATGGACCACCTTTGAAAGTCATGTAACAAGAATATTGAATCCCACACGCAACCTGCAAGTTTTGCGACTGCGCGGGCAGGCACATTACGTGCCAGCACCCGCCACCTCAGCCGCTGGGCATACTGGCGCGCGGGCTGGCGGCCGCCGCCCGCAGGCGGTCCAACGCATCGTGCAGCTTCGAAGACAGGGCAGCTAGCTCAGACTCGATCAGGCCGCCGTGCGCCGCCGCAGCGGCCGCCGCCTGTGGGCCCGCCAGCAGCTCTGCCAACGTGGGCAGCGCCCGCGCGCCCCGGGCTCCAGCTTTGGCCTGCTGCTGCTTAGCAGCGGCGGCCGAGGCGCGCGCCTTCGCCAGCAGCGAAAGCAGGGGCAGCTGTTTCGCTTGACCAGCGCCCCGGGTGCCGGCGCTGCTGTCACCGTGGCCGCTGGCGCCGGCAGTCGGCGGGGCGTTTGCCGCGGACGGGGTGGCAGAATGGGTCCCTACACCAGAGCCGGCGTTCGCGCCACGGGCGCGCCTTGCAACGACGCCGCCGAGCGCTCTGACAAATACAGAGTCGAACACCTCCGTCACGTTGAGCCGTTTGGAGATATCCTTACCGAGGTTGACTAATCAGGAGGAGTCACCAGGCAGCAGGCGGCGCGGCAGCAGCGGAGGGGTGGGCGGGTTAATAGTGATCACGCAGCAGCTTTTGGATACTTTATTAAGCAAGCTTGCAACGTACAGCGCTCCATAGCCCACGGGCTTCGGCACATCGCATTGTACAAGGCCCCGCCTGGCCACTCCATCTCCCTCGCAGCACGCCGACTCGCGCCCGCCCCGCGCCCCGCACCCGAGAAGCGCGCGTCCGGGCCCAGCAGGCGCCCCAGAATTGAGTCTGCGTACTCCACCGCGGTCGGGCTGCGCCGCCGGCGCGCCGCGTTGCGCTCCGCGATGTCGCGCAGCGCCCGGAACGCGTCCTCCAGATTGGAGGCGCTAGGGGGGTGAAGTGTGCATGCGCGCGTCATGGGGCCGACGCGTGCGCTTGCAGGGCTGTCTGGATGGACGATCTGGCAAGGATGGGGATTGGGCTGCACACGGGGTGCGGCGGACCACCGTGCACTACATGGTGCGTGCCGGGCCAGAGGTCGGGGGTGTGTTGCGCTCCGTTCCAGGGCTGTGCCCCTCACTGCAGGCGTGTCCCAGAGATTTCCCGCCATGCGCGACGCCCCTGACTCAGCGCTCCCTGCGCCGCTCACACGTTGGGCCGGTCCCATTCGAGCGCCACCTGCACCGTGCGCCGCTGCAGCTCCGCCGCGAGCCGCTCCCGCAGCTCGCTTCCGAGCGAGCTGTAGCCCCCTTGCCCTCCTGCGCCGCCGCCGCCGCCGCCGCCGCTGCCGTGGAACGCCTTGCGGCCGGCCCCACGCAGGTAGCTGCTCAAGGAGGACGACGCCCCGCCGCCACCACTGCCGCCGCTTTGGCTGCGGACGCGGTTGGCGGAGCTCTTGCCGCCGCCGCCGCCGCCGCCGCCGCCGCCGCCGCCGCCGGCCCCAACTCCGCCGGCCGCACCAGCAGGTGCGCCGCGGACAGCTCCCTGGTCACCCGTGCTGCCGCCGCCGCCGCCGCTTGCAGCACTGTCTGCCGGACCCTGCGACACCGTCACTGTGAAGTTATAGTTTGGGGGCGCGCCTGGCGCGTCTGGATCCTCGTCAGAGAAGAAGCTGGCCGGGTCCCGCAGTGTGAGGGAGACGGAGGCCTCCAGGCCGTACCTGCGTTGTACAATGCACTCCTGGCAAGAGCGGAGGGGGCAGGGTGCGGAGCGGCGTCAGGGAAGGGGGGTTAGAGAGTTGCTTGAAGGCACGGCACGCTTGGCAGTGGCATATCGAAAGCGGGCGTAGTCACACAAAGAGCCGCAGCCATGAACGGAGGGGGGCGAGGGTGTGTGGTGAGCAACGGTCAGTGCGACGAGGTGTTGCGGCGCATGCATGGACAAAGGACAGCCAGCACCCGCTGCCCGCTCCCTGCTGTCGCCTCACCCCCTGCGGAATTTCTGTATTGTGCATGCCTGGAGGCCGCCCACCTCAGTGGTGGCTTGGGCCGGCGAGACGGTGCGCCCCGTGTAGCGTGCGGCGCGTCTGGTCAACTCGACTGAGGGCAGCGTGCAGGAGAGCGGGAACCCTGAAACGGTGGCCTCCTGGGTGCGTCCCAGCCGGCAGCTTAGGCCAGATATTTTGAAGGTCGCGGCCTGGCCTGGGGGTGAGTGCAGGGGGCCATACACGGGGGAATGCACAAGGGTGTGCCAGTGCTTGGAGGACGGCGCGACAGCAGGGTTCAGCTTGCTTCGTGCAGTTACGGAAAAGGTCTAATCCATGCGGCGTGAGCTGTCAGCGTCACCCTTCGAATGGGACGAACGAGGCCCACTGCATGCAGCTCCACGCAGGCGTGCTCCCCCCCGCCCGCCCAGCCGGATGGGCACACTGTGCGACTGCCATCCGCAAGCGTGTGCGTCCACGTACGCCGCGCGCAGTGGCTGACCCGCCCAGGCTCCGTGGCTCAGCCCATCGCGCACCGGTTATCCTGGCGTCCTGCTTGGCCGGCGGTGTGAAGCTTGCCGGCGTGCACGTCGCCCCTGTCAGCGCCCTGATCTCATCAATGACCGCCTCCCCGTTTTGGAGCTCGTATCTGAGGCGGTTGGTGTCGTCTAAAAAGGCGCCCAGCCGCTCGCGGAGCGATTTCTCGTAGGCGGCCCGCACGGCGCCGCCGGCGCCGAGGGCGGAGGTGACGGAGGCGTGGAGTGGCGGAGCGGCCGCCTTTCCGGTGCGTGGGGCTGTGCCGGGCTGCGCGGGCGAGTCGCAAGGCACCGCCCATCGGGGTCGTTACCACCGGCGTGCAGGCCAAGGTTTACCACAGGTGGCGGGCTGCGCGCCCCCCGGCATCAGCCGTTTGGCAGGCGATCACATGCTGAGGCACACGGCGGAGCTCTGGTGCAGCTTGACGCGCACAGAGCGAGCCGCAGAGCCCGAAAGTTTGCCTCAGTCTGCTGCTGGACCACTCACCTGAGAGTGGGCGGCCATGGCGCTCACCCGTGGGCCCTGCTGAGCCGCAGCCGGTGCTCCGGCAGCTGCACTGCTGCCTGCGCAACCGGCCATAAGGCGACAGGTCGACATGGAACCGTGTCCATTGCCGCCAGCCCAGGCAGCTATTGGTTTCGTCGTGCCGTGCGTGCTGCAGTTTCGGCGACACGCCCACCACGTCACGTGCGTGCGCATTGGCCTCCTGCATCAAGGCGCATCTACTGCACCAACCATGATCGGTCCAAGAAGCAGGCGCCGCAGGTGGAGCCCCGCTGCTCACCTGAGGCTGCTATCACTGGTTTGTCTAAAGCCTGAGGGCATACTGCTTGGGCGCATAGCAAGGCGATCAAGAGGGCGAGTGGCGTTGACCCATGCGGACAACCCATTGCGCGCCGGCGGCAGGTCGGCCGGCCCGTGGCCCCCCCCTGAATCCTCGGCAATTTTCTAGAGTATGAACATATTCACGCTCGAGCGCTCGATTTCAGCATCAACAGCGGGCAACGACCTCGCAACGACCATGTCTCGGAGAGTCGAGAGCTCCCCTGGCCTGCAACGTGCCCTCTGCAGCGTGGTTGATGCGAGAGTGCGCAACAGCAGCAAGGAGAAGCGCGCCAAGGCGCTTAACAACATAGACACGGCACTCAAGGGGCGCCAGCTGAATAAATGCTGGCAGCTGCACCTGAAGGTTCTTCAGGCGCTGGAAGGTTTCACGTCCTCCGCGAAAAAGGACAGTACAGTGTATAGAGGGCTGCCTCTTGGACGCCGTCTCTAAAATGTTTCCGCGCTCATGTACGGTGTATGCTGCACCTCGCTCGCCGCGGTTGGCTTGGCGGTGCGCCTGTTGGTGCACGGGCAGCAGGGTCAGCCCACACTGCCTACAAGCTCAACGCGGCGTTGCATGCGATCTACCTTGTATGCACTGCCAATGCTGCTGCTGCTGCTGCTGCTGCTGCTCATGCCGTCCTTCAAGTGCACCCCCGCTGGTCCAAACCGTTACGATATGTGCTACCACCACTTGGTTGATGCGGGAGCGACATTGGCACTCCTATCCACCCTGTAGGCATGGATATTGCTGCCCAGTGGCTTGATGTGGTGTACCCCATGGCCGAGCCAGAGGCTTTGGCAGCGCTTGTGGGGTTTCCTGACGATGGGAAGACGACTACAGCACAACACAGGTCTGGTACAGAGTTCGTGTGAGGAGTGTAATGATGAGGTGGCACGCACACTTCTATGGTGCAGTTCTTAATTATTCATGCGCAACTACAACCACTCACACAACCCGTTGACCAATTTGACTGCATCTCATCCCCTACAGGGTGACTGGCGGATGACAGTTAGTGAAGGTGTGCACGCATGAGACATCACATTTACAATGTGAGCAGTGCATGTGCTCAACCCCTGCTTTCCACCTCAACACCATCCATTATTGGTATACTACAAAACTCATGACACACGCTGCATGTCACGTCGCCAGCTGTACCCTGCCACTTGCGGCTCACAACCCATGGACCTACCTGACGCACTTGTGTCGCCTTATGCCCATGTACACACACTGTATAGCTGGTTTGCATTGCCCTCTTGCTTGCCCCTATATACTATCCCCTTTGCAGATACACCAGCGACTGCTTCATGCAAAATCCCACAATCAACCCAGTTTGCACACCGTCCAGCTTTGTGTGCAGGTCGCAGCACCAGCTGCCCACTCAGCACATGGCAACGTCAATGTGCTTGACAGGTGTGTGCATTGTATGCCGTAAGCAATTGTTGCAAGTTGGCAGAGTGGCATCACGGCGCATCAAGCCCGCATGGCGCGCTACGGTTCTTGTCACCCAGTGTGACCAGCAAGACCAAGTACCATTCGGCTGCAACTAGGCGCATGTGAGCGAAGCGGCCTGAAGGACTGGGGTGATACGATCCATAGCACTTCCTATCACGGTTCTTTTTTCAGGCTGCCAAAAATGCAGCTGTCCAGCGCCCAGAGATCGTGCGTGGCGCGCGGGCAGGCCTCTAGGCGCCCGCGTGCGGTCTCGGTCGCGGCAGCTAAGACGCGTAGCAAGGTCGGATTCAGGTGAGGTCCAGGTCAAGCGCGCCACATCAAGCGCGGGCTGCACGCGCGCAAACCAGCAGCCCAGCGAGCTGCACCGAGTTCATTGGGTTCGATTACAACTTGAAAAATTACTTCAGCGGGCAGAGAGGCATGCGGCGGCCCAAGCCAGCAGGTGACCACAGTAGCGGCACTCCCACCACACGCACCTGCTGCGCGCTGCAAATATCCCACACCCAATCGCAGGTATGACCCGGCAAACTTGCGCTGGGTGCGCGATGACCGCCTGGCTGACCTGTCGGTTGACGACTCAAAGACTGTCATCCAGCCCAAGACAGGCGCGGCATACCAGGTGCATTAGTGCAGCCTGCTGCCGCCAATGCCGCCCCGCCGCCGCCGCCACGGCTGCTACTGCTGCTGTGGCTGCTGCTGTTGCTGCTGCTGTTGCTGCTGCTGCTGCTGCTGCTGCTGCTGCTGCTGCTGCTGCTGCTGCTGCTGCTGCTGCTGCTGCTGCTGCTGCTGCTGCTGCTGCTGCTGCTGCTGCTGCTGCTGTTGCTGCTGCAGTTCCCTTGCATCGCCTGCTGCGCTGTGAGACGCCGTAAAAGGAGGATCGCTTCGCCTGGCTGATCAGCGACGTTTGCAGCAGGCTCTCGCCCCCGCAAGCACCGGCTGCTCGAGCCATGCTCGCCCATGGCTCGCACCCTGACCTGTGGTGCAACTCACGCACCTGTCCATGCCCAAAGGCCTGGCCGGTGGTGCACACCGTTCTGAACGACGCCGGTCTCAAAACCGTCAGCTGTGAGGAGGCTGCCAAGCTGTCGAAGCAGGGCTGGACCCTGATAGACGTGCGGCTGGCGGGCGACTTTGAGAAGTGGCACGCGGAGGGCGCGGTCAACGTGCCGCTCTACCGCTACGTCGAGGGGCAGGTGGGCAGAATGCTCTCAGCTCGCCAATTTCACGCCGCGGCGCGAGAGGGCCGGCACGGCGCGGCGCTGCGACACGGCTGTTCTCGTCTCAGCGCCGCGCCTCGCGTCAACGTCGTGCGGGCTAGTGTCGTGGGTGTCGGCAGCGGAGAGTTTTCAGAGGCTACTGGTGTCATCAGGGCCCTGACCTTCTGCTGTGTCCGCTTGTCATTGCACCTGCAGGGCCCATGGGACAACCTGAAGCGGCTGGCCATGTTTGCCTTCGCCATGAAGGCCACAGAGCGCAACCCCGACTTCATAAGTGAGCGAGACAGCGGATGTCGGCTGCCCCCGGCACGCAGGCGCTGTGGCAGGTTATTGGGCGGCTGCTGCCGCTTGTGGAATATGTCACTTGCCTCAACTCATCAACAGCAGGGCCCACATGCGCGCCTGTGCCTGCAGGCAACCTTCTTGCCTAGAGCCCCCTGCTGAGCCCTTTTCGACACCTACGCAAGCTGCCCCCTCTTCCCTCCCTAAATCCCCTCTCTTGCTCTCCCCCCCTTGCCTGTCCCTTTTAACATAGTTCTGCGTCAATCTCCCCTCCCACCCTCCCTCAACGCAATAAACGCACGTAACAACAGGCGAGTTGAATAAAACGGTCAAGAAGAATTCCAAGATCCTGGTGATGTGCGCGATCGGCGGCACCCTGGACACGCTGGTGTCGTACCGCCGGGAGAAAAAGCTGTACAACGATCCCGAGAGGCAGTTTGGACGTGAGCTTTCTGTTGCGCGGCTGTGTGAGGGGTCAGGGATGACGGGGGGGGGTTGCGAGGTGCGAGGGCAGGCCATGAGGCTGGGAGGCAAGGCGTTTGAACATGCTCATGGACTGGGAGCTGCGCTAAGGGTCCCTGCCGACCAGCGCGGCCTGGCTGGCAGCTGGGCCCATATGGAACGAGGGGGGCCTTTGTGAATGAGCGTCCCAGGGGCCTCAATCTCGATCTGTTGGTTGGGATGTCTTTCAGACTCCCCTCTCCCCCGCAATCCGTGTTCATGCTCAAACCGTCAAACCACTCCAGGCGAGAGCCGGTCTCTCAAGGCGGTGTATGAGATGCTGGAGAGCGGCTGGAGCGTCAACAACATCCGCCACGTCGACGGTGCGGGTGCAACCCCTCGGGGCAGCTGCTTGCTAGGCGCACCTGCATCCGCTCTCAATCCACGGTCTCCTCTCAAGGCCCGGCATTCTTGCAAATAATTGAGATGGCTGCTGCAACTCGACACGCAGCCATCTGCAAATTACAGCTTCGCGCCTAGCCACCGTGCACGCGGCAACGCACCTCCACATCCCCCACTTTCTGCGCACGCTCCAGGCGGCTTCCAGCAGTGGCGTTTCCAGGGCCTGCCCACAAACGACGACGAAGAGTAGGCGCTGACAGTAGAGTGAATGCTGATGAAGAGAAGGACCGCTGATGAGGAGAGTCCTGCACGTGTGGTGTTGAATTTTTTTGGCGCTGCCAGTCATTCTTCGTGCGATTGCACACAGGCGGCGGCGAGCGTTTCTTAGTATGGCGTGTGAAATTCGAGATGAGAGTCGACATGCAGATAGCGAGCGTGTTGCCTAATACGAGCTGTGCTGCCAAACTTGACCTGTGCAGAAGCCGCTGGTCAACGAGTCCAGCGCAAGAACCTCCACCTTCCTGAGGTTCCCACGCAGCTGATTGAGGCACAACTGCCCCTTTGTAACAAGTATCCTGCGCTTCTCCGGTGCTGCTCTGCACGCTGCGCTGGGTCCATACACAGGTTGCTACGCAGCGCGTTACTTGCAAAATACCAGCCGCATGGCTGGACCCCAAATAAGGACAGCAAAGCAGTCCCAGGGGGCAGAATGCACGGCTGCAGGGCCTCGGCCGCTGCACAGGCGCAGGAGAAAAAGCTTGCTACATTCAGAAATCTGGCAGGATGAAATTATTCCTGCACCGGTTCTGTGGGAACTCGCAAGGGAACGACAACAAAAGTACAGTGCAAGCAACTGGTTAGTAAGGACGCCACCTCCTGCAAAGGGAGAGCCAATAGTAGTCAAGCTACAAGCCACCGTCGCCGCCGCCAGCCCCCGACTGGCTCCGCGATAGGGGCAGGCCCCCTGGGCCCGACCGCACCGGCGGCGACGCGAGCCGCGGCGGGGG